TAGTCTTGTGTATATATCTCTGATGCATTCAGTATAATTCTTTTAACAACGTTACATTACAATTGTATGATTTATATTACGCTTGGTGTAACTGAAATTACTCCTAAAGTATCAGAACAATGTTGTTTATAAAGATGATGAAAGTCCGGAAATATGGAGCCCGCGGCAGATTTAGGCTGCTAGCCGCACGTCGGAAAAAAGAAATAATTTTATTTAAGGGAGACAGAAAGTATATATCCGGTATTAGTCCGAGTGTCATTTGATCTGAAAGATGCGCTTTAAAGATAGCAAAGTAACCTAGGCAACTCAGTAAGATGAAGCTCTCGGTCTTGCTTACAGCAGGAGCGCACGAATGTTTCCTTTGTGCGTTAGTAACGGACTCTAAGAGTCAACGCTGTCCTATGTGCACGGCAACTGTTGCTCCTAGCGCGACTCCGTCTGGAGCTTTGGCAACTTTTTGTGGTCATCGCGGCATCCATCATCCAGACGTCTTCTTTGTCCTTCCTCCTACGAGCAGATACGAGCAATGATTAGTCTTTTTGACGAAGCCGATTGCTTTCCTATCGACGAGTAGTTGAGGTCTTTCTGGTGGTGTGTCAATTGTGCGTTCATATAGCTAATACGCGCTTTTAGGTCGAGTGTTCTATCGCCTTGATGCAAAAATAACTCAACATGCCATGTTGTTGCGAGGATATGTAGTCCAACTCGTGCTCTATCTTTACAGAGCTTGCAGTTTTATATTGCCTGGATCGCTCAGTTGACTACCAAGTACACCGGGATTGCCGTTCACCTCACATAGTTAAAGCTTTCAGTCTGCGGGTACACGTCAACAAGCACGCAAAAGCTTGTAACCCCAGGAGGTAAACCGAGTCTTTTAATTTACTAGTGATTGCTGCATTTACAATTCAGGAGTGTGATTACTAGTTCTAACAGTGAAAGCAGCGGCTGGTGATGTTTTGAACCTGCCAGTCAGAATTGAGCTATCTATATCTGGATATAATTTTAACTGTCTGCAATAACAAAATCCTATAGCCAACCCACATTCGCAAGCGGACCTTATCAAACCACTTATAACATTATCCTTCGTTTAGTACTACTTCTGAGCCTTGCTTTAAATTTCCGATAGTGTGATGATAGAATACGTACGCCGTTGTTCAATATAGAATTGTGCTGTAGAAGATTCTTTCACCACTACCGAAATGAGTGCAAGTAATGAGAAGTCAGCTCCAATCTTGTATTTCTTTGGTTAAGCAATATTCATCTATCTGCCTTCACACAACAAGTGTACAAGACATAAAGCTTCGTTGTATGTATATCATCTTCTACGTGCACACTCCTTGCCACGTTCGCATGTCTTTCTTAATTTTTACTGCGTTACAGAGGCCTTAATGACGCCCACCTGCGCAGGTCGAATGACCCGATCGTTCAGGGTGTAGCCTGTCTTCATAATCTGCCCAATACATCCGGCTTCTTTTGTTGCGTCTTCGTACTCGAAGAGCGCGTCGTGAACATTAGGGTCAAACTTGTCGCCTACAGCGCCCACCTGATTAATATTAAATTCTCGAAAAACCTTTTGCAGCTGTGTCTCTGTCATAGCAACACCCTCATGCAACATTTTAATCGCATCAAGCTGCTTTTCGGGCTCTAGAGCCTCTACGTCGACACTCTCATGCGCGCGCTTGAGGTTGTCCGATACGTCCAACAGTGCCTTAGCAAACTTCGAGATGGCAAACTCACGAGCATTGTTCACATCTACGCGCGAAATGCGACGAACGTTCTCTGCGTCAGCTAGTGCCCGCAGAAGGCGGTCGTTCATGTCTTTATTCTGAGCTGCAAGCTGTTCCAGTTGTTGCTTAAGCACGTCCATATCACTCAAAGGTTGCTCACCATCTGACTCCGTAGTAGTATCGGCTGCAGGTTTTTCATCCGCAGAATAAGCCGGAGTTTGACTCACGTGACGCAATTGTATGCGTGATGTACGGATAGCGCTAGATAGAACGATACGCCGGAGCATGATAGTTACGCTTTGAGGACCACAGAATTTTGTTCGAAATTGTGGGGTTTTCGAACCGAAATTTCGAGAATTCCTTTTCTTGACATTTACATATATAACGGTAGATTAATTAATTTTTTAAATGATTTGATAGCATAGTGTCAAACGGAACGTCTGGTAAACTGTCATCATCGTCTGTCGTCTCTTCAGTCTCTGAGCTTCGGACTGTACACTTCATCCGGTATTTTCGTTCATAAAATAGCATGTACGCACAACTGCTTAGAACCTCAGCAATCGGTGCCTCGCGTACAGTCTCATCCGATACAAAGAACCACTGTGAAGCACTGGCGCGACGATATGCTGTAAAGTGACCACAGCGCTCGTTACCATGATGAAGAATTACAGCACTTAGATTGTAAATTAAATTTTGCTGTTTTGAAGTGTCACCGCAGGACGGTATTAATGTCTGGGACTGCTGTCGCAAGAAAGATCGTCCATTCTTCAATTCGCTAGTATCACTGACGCCAACACTTGTCTCGTACTGGCAAAAGTCTTCCATATCGAGCTCCAATGGAAATTCAACATACGTCTCTAGCTTCACCGCCCCGTCAGTTCTCATGTAAACCTTTCGATTAAAATGAAAACAAAAGACGTCCGGACTGCGCGAAAACTGCAATCGCTTCAAGCAATCGCCTCGACTGCGAAGGATCGGGCGATCGAGCTGTTCTATATCAAAATTTGTCGACGCATTGGCCAATTGCTCAAGTGTGTGAATCCAATCTTTTCGTACATGCTGCAAAATTTCCAAATCCACATCACTTGCATCAATTTCCAGCTTCACTTGTTGCTCAACCATCTGATACTCTTGCTTCGTGTTCTGCAGTTCCATCATGACGCTGCAATAGTTGCACTCCACATCATTTATTACTTCAGCCTCTGTATATAACCGCAGCGCATCAGTAAGATGCGCAATTTTTTTGTCGCCGGAAGCTACAAGGGACAACGAAACGTCTAGAAACGGCTGGTTATTAAGCGGTCGATAATGATGGCATGTTGCACACTGCAGCAAATTTACTTGCAATCCCTGAAACGGATTCCAGCTGCGCTTGTCCACAGCTTGAGAAAGCCGCAGGTCACTGATGGACCTGAATACGGGTACGTCATCTACCAATAGATCACTTTTAGATCTAAATGTAGATAGATCAGTCATCGTCAGGTCAGTGATGGACCTAGAAGCGGGTACGTCATTCACCAATAGATCCAAGAGACCGCGTTCCTGCAAGGAGCAGTGTCGCTGTTCTCTTTCAACCAACTTAAAGAGAAACTGAAGAAGTTCTTGAGCATCCTGCTGTCTATTGCCACGAAATGCACGCAACTGATTAGTTAACTCCGCATTAAGCGCGCGAGGTACAACCACACATGGCGAGTCACAGGGCGCAAGTGCCTCCAGACAGTCACGCAACGCTCCAGTGAACGCAATTGCACGCCTGGTAACGCATGCACAGTTTTCAATCTCTCTTAAGAACTCGTGTACACTTGTTAGTGACGCCAATGCCTGTAAAATAGCGTTGAAAAAGCACGTGTTGCCCAAGTTCTGCAGCCCAGGCACCATCATGGTGATTAAAGAGACTGCGTTTGAATGACAAAATATTTCCGACATAAATTATTATTGTGGCTAATGTCGCACCAATGTGAGCGAAAGGCCCAATGGCCTGATTTTCAGAAAAATATTTTTTAAACAAAAAAAATATTATTTAAAAGAGTATCTTGACTACAAATTAATTTTTAATTAATCTGATTGAAGTGATACTATATTCTAATAAGCGTGAAGATAAACTGGTTCTGAAGCAGTAATGACATCTGCGACTTTACTAAAAGGTGATTGCAACAAGGATAATTTTACTTTGCACAAAAAAAGCTTTGACTTGATAGATTTGCTTAATGAACGCATATGAACCCAAGAGCGGAATCGAGAGCCTCTCTGATGCTTCAATTCCTCGTTTGCTCTCTTCTTCAGATAAAGTTTTAATTAGGATTGATTCTAATGGGTATCTCATATACGGAGTCCCACCATCTTCATTGGTGTCGGTACATTATTTGGGATTATTCCGATAAAATTAGAGTGCAATGAGAATTTCGTACAATTGGACAAGACATTGTACAAATGAACGGAAGTGTTCATTTGTACAATGTTCCGTACATTGGACATACACAATAAAACAGAACGGACACCATCCCCAGGATTCACACTTCCACTGCTTTTTAAATGGTGCGGTCAACGAAAACCCAGCGCAATTGGATGTTTATGTACACGACAGTGCCATTTTTAAAATAATATTCACATCTGGAGTTCTCTCTCGTGCCCACCCGTATATGACTCGAGAGCCTCCGAGGAAGGCGCAGGTTTTCGACCTACGACCTAGAAGCCATTCATTACGCCCTTAATTCCTCTGATTATGAACTCACGTGTGCTTCGCCTGCCTCTGACAACGGCATTTTTGGTTTTGAGCATGCTCTCAGCCTTTAGCGTTACAAACGAGGCGCATGACACCCAATCTCTTTAAGATGAAAAACGTAATTTTGCTGTAAATCTTAGCCTAGCTTAGATCAGCGATTACTATTGTATCGATCCAGGAAGGCCAAAGCCTTTAGGGACTGTGTCAAATGAAAGATTGTCCAACCCATTCACGTACAGAGTCAAGCCCTGTACAGGCGCGAGCAGAGTTGTGTAACCCATTATGAATAAGTGAGAGCAAATCGCTCGAACACTGCAGTCTCTTTGGGCATATGCTACAGGAGGTTCCCACTACGCGCAATTGCCTCGTTCCGTCTGACCATCTGGCCCACACTGATTGTTTTCAAATTTAATGTGACTCCCCTAGCAAAACTGTTCAACTGCGCTGTAAAGCGCGGATCTCGATCCGACGCATAGCTACTGACAAGCCATGTTGGCGATAAGCGTTTTTGAGAATCAGCTTGGCTGTATCCCTAACGGTTATCACTGATAGTAGGTCGATAGGTCATCTTGCTCACAATGTCGACTTAACAAGGCGCATACTTAAAAAAACGAAGACTTAAGTCTAAACTTATGGGTTACCAATACTCTGCCGGAATCGACAGGCTGACTAAAGGCTTGGACGTACGAAGCAAGTCCTCAACCCATTGACAAGTTTCACTTGTCTACACATTTGTACTTACCAACGCTACATGTTGGACCATCAGTACATCAAGCAGTATGTTAATCTCTTCGCGGTGGCCACCCGATTGGGCATCACGTACCTCATCCACTCGTCCGCGCCTGAGATCTTTATCGGTAGGGGTGAGGGTCAAGTAGGTTAGTAGAAAGCCTTGGGATCTGATATAGCGGTGCAACCGTGCAACTGCGTGTTCCATAACGCTACATCTGCATTCTCAAAGTCACTGCTCGCCAAAACTTGCAGAGATACACTAAATATCGCGTCTAACGCATGCACTAGACGTGTCGCCTCATCGTTGCCCCAAGATGCATCAGGTTATAATCAGGTTACGCGGGTGAGAATCAACCGCCACGTCAACTCAACCGAGTTTATGTTGTTTTCAAGAAAACAAGAGCAATTATCTTGCCACAATCCGATGACCAATTGATTTGCGCAACGACACACCACAATGAAGATCACAACGGCTTAAAAGCAAAAGTAAACACACCTGAACTTGACGCGGGCATACTTTATTGCAAGTAGCTTCTTGTCATAGACATGGCAGTTCTTCTCAGTAGCTTTTGAAAGGTGACACTCAAACGTGTTCACGCGTTCATGCCCATCGACATCTGGTTGGAGAAAGCGTAGCCTAATGCAAATGCTGAAGCTTCACAGACGCCTTGAAATGGTCGAAATGAATTTCGGAAGAGACGAATACAAGGCACACGTGATATTTTCTTTCCTATCCTTCAAGATCCCTCTCTGTCAGATACAACAAAGTTTGACTTTCTATTAAAGTAGATTGGTGAGGGGTTGTGCCAGGTCAGTACAGTTTGTTGTGTTTTCGGTGATAACGAGTCCCTTTTCCGGACAGCTTTATTAGAAATCATAGCCTGCGGGCGAGCCATTATTGTTTCCCCAGTGTCATCGTCCCGGAACAATTCAATGAAACGGCTTAGCCTGAACAATTTTTTGCACAAGCCCAGCGCAACAATACCGATCTCGCGCCAATCTCGCTAAATGAATAGCAATTTGTGTTATGGATGGTAGAAGAGATGGATTTTGTGATTGTAAAGAAAGCTTCGACCCTGGCTTCTTCAAGTCAGGTTGAATCAATGATTTTTTGCCTTTGCTGTAGCTTGTGCTATAATACAGACAGTGTCGAAGGTGCATGCGTTATCGAGTTGGAGTCACGCTGACGTGTCCAGGCAAAAATTTCAACCTTGCTTACAAATAAAAGTTATTTTCACTGAAGTATGCCCTTGTCAAGTCCAGTTGATTTTGCTTTGCTCTTCCGTTAGAGTATACTGAGCATGCGTCTTTGTTCACAGCGATGTCGTCACTTCATCTCTCACAGATAACGACAGGACAATTAAGAAAATAATACTTTTCTGCTGAATGTAAGCTAGAGATAACTTAAAACAGGTTCGGCATTATGTGCGAATTTGCGTGCAGCGGGGCTGCCGTAGCAAAACGCTTGAGGAAGCGTACTTTAGGTCACCGAACTTTCGTTTTTTACAAGAACCAAGTATGAGTTAGCGGATCGCAATCCGCTCACTCCAAGAGTAATTATTGCTAACTCAAGGCTAATCGACTCTTCGGTTAAAATTCCAAACTGATTTTTATTTATTATCCTAATCTTAAAAGATTAGATTTATCTAAATATACTAAATATATACAGTAAAATCTAGATACATGCATAACTACTGGCTATCTAGACCCGTACCGTATTTTGGTTTGGGTGTGGTCACACCATGCACATCTCGTGTGACCCCCCCTGTTATTAGGGTTCGTGTAACCCCGTTACACCCTCCCCCATTAAGATTAAGAACATTTAGAGTTCCAATCGATTGTTGCCTCAACGAGGCTCGCGTGTCCGTTAGACACTGCAACTCAATTAGTTGGAGTTTAACTACTTCCTTGCTCAATGATCCCTGTGTCCACGACACGAAAACCATCAAGTCTCGCTGGTTCTGACAGCGAGCACGGGCAGAGCCCAACTTCGTTCCCCACACGCAGTGCGATGTCGGACAGTGCGTCCGCGGTACCGGGGATGTATATACTAGGCTCGATGAGCACAAACGTCGCGCTCCGCGCACGCTTTCAGTGTCGAGTGGCCTCGTTGAGGATGGAGTCGACTATGAGCTTGACATCTCTTCTCTATGGGATGACGAAGAACGCGAGCTGCATCAGCAGCGTGATACGAGCCCTGCTCGCGCCTTGCGGACCCCATGTCCGTTCCCTGATTTCCCGTTAACTGAGGAACGTGGTGTAATCACCAATGATCTCAACGGGGAACAGAGGCGGCAGCTTGAAGCTGCCCATAAGGCGGCTCTAGAGCACGCCTATACACGGCCGGTCATTGACCCTCGTGTGGAATATGGCTTCCGCCCTGCGGATCCCGCTTT